GTGGCTTTGTTCATTCAACTAGTATATGTCAAACAATAAAAAAAAACCTTTAAAAATTTCGTTTCCAGAGAGAGTAAATATTAATCGCAAATAAACTAACTAATTAATTATATGAATAGCATTTTGTTACCTGTTTTTATTTATCTTCAAATATAAAAATACTAAATTTCACCGATTGATAACTTTATTAGGACCCTCCATTTTTGAAACACTACATGTATGTGCCTATATTGATCATATGAGGTGTCGAGCGCTGACTTCAGCAGTATAAATTTAGAGGTTCAATCATACGTTTAGACAAGTGGTAAGAGCAAGAATATCCTCGACTTTCATAGAGCATGACAGTCACTGTTTCTTTGACTGGTTGTTCAAAGACTGCTTGTCCCATGAGCGATTTCTCTGCAATGACATGCAAACTGCTGTGATAACTCAAGACATACTGAAACGTCATCACCTTAGCCTTCTTTATTGAAACCTTTAAGGCTCTGCTGTCTGTATGAGCCAAATTTTCACCTTTGTTTCAACTCAATGTAGTTTAACGAGTCTTCTTTTTATATTGCAGAAAGATTAGTATGTGAGAAACTCTTTATTATAGTTTTAGTAGTTGATAGCTAAGTGTAGTGTGATCAGATTATTTGAATTAGTACAATTTATTTTTTGTAGCATTAATGAAATGTGGAAATAGGAATCTCTCTCGTGTTAAACTTTGATATTTTCATTATTATTTGCGATTGGAACATTGATTTTGGGGTTTGATCATCACGGTTTTTGCTATCGGTTAAGTTATTACAGGATTTTAATTGAATATTGCATGATGGATTTACTTACCAAAAGGAAAACAACGGAAAGGAAAAAGAAAAAAAACAACTTAGACGCAATCTTAATTTATAGTTGTTATGAAGTTGTTTTCATTGGGAAAAAGGCCCGGCATGGCCAGGTGGTTAGGGCACTCGACTCGCAATCTGTGGGTTGCAGGTTCGAATCCCCGTTACAACAAACATGCTCGCTCTTTCAGCCGTGGGGGCGTTGTTATGTGACAGTCAATCCCACTATTCGTTGGTAAAAGAGTAGCCCAAGA